AATAAAATAATATAAAAATTAAAGTAAGAGTTTATAGTGTGGATATTTAGAGGGCCCTTAAAAAAAAAAAAGATAAATTATAAACAAGAATAAAAATGTAAGGTGAGGTTTTAGATTGGGTTTGGATTAGTCCATCTTAGAACCGGTTTGATCCTGATCAATTCCCATCTAGTAACATTTGTTAGAAGTTAAAATTTACAAGAATATAGAAGAAACGGTCACTAGTGAGTCAGGGGCAGATTCGGCCAAATTGGACTACCTAATTTGGCCGAGTCTTAATTTTAAAACATAACAAGTTTTAGGACTTGCGTTGGGCTCACCTGATATTAGAGCTTCGTCATCTTGATTCGGCACCTAACTAGACAGACTGACTCCGGCGCATCAACTTCAAGTTAATGATATTTCAATAGAAATGTATACAATAAGACTATTTACTTTTGATATAAAAGGCAATCATTATCAATCGTTAGATGTGAAATCAGATGATTAAGAATGTGTTATTGACTGGGGCACAAAATCCAAATAAGATTTTTCAAATGTTGTGACATTTCAATATGTCAGATTTCATATTCAATGGCTAAAAGTGTTTGTAATCTCCTTGTACCAAAAAATAGATAGTCTTATAGTATACAATCTTTTTTGTTTTTTTTAAGGAAAAAATTTAAATTAGTTAGACACCTTCAAATTTAGAACTAAAGTACACCTCTAAAATTGTTGGGAAAAAGTTGTTTTGATGTTGAAAAGACAGTTGTTTCATCATCTCAACATTGAGATGTGTAGAGATGGAGAAGAAAAGATATTTTAAGTCTTAGAAATAGTATATATTGTAATACATTATCTAGATCGTCTAATTTCAATATTTCCATATGTTTATATATCTGCTAGATTTGAATTGTTTTTAGATTTTAAAATTTTATAATTAGAGATAAAATTAGATTTTCGTAACATCTAAAAATTTTCGGCATCAAATTATATCTCATAACAACATTTGGAGGTCTATTGTACTTTGATTATTTAAGGTTGCAACTTTATGTAAATCACACCATGTTTTTAATGATTTTGTGTAGCAATTTGAACCTCCCCAAATAAAATTTATTGAAAATATAAGTACGTGAGATGTTAAGGGCTCGAATCCCTTGTAAATGGACCGGGTTTGTTTTCAGATGTTAATTTGTATTGTCTTTGAAATTTACAGGCATGCATATCAATAGAGCTGTACATAGATTAAAACCTATTGATTGGAAAAAATTTGAAGAAATTCATAATAAAATTCATTTTACTTTTCAAATTTACAAATAGTCTTATTTTTCATATTTTACATTCAAGAACCACTTTTTTAGAGTGTATAGTGTATTTTAATTTGATTCTTTTCTATATTAAGCTCAAATTTTGGATATTCACACTTCTCACCATCACATACTTGTACAAAATATAAAAAATTAATTCAATGATAAAAAATGACCAAACACTATAACGACATTCATGGATTTTTCTTTTTATACTTTTATACGTACATGATGGTAAGAAATATGCAACTTTGAGCTAAGCCCAACATAAAAGAGCAGAAAAAATAAAAATATACTACATACCCTCAAAAAATGAGAGCTAAGCAAACTATATAATATATAGGGAACTATTGTTAATTTTTTTTTTTAAAAAAAAAACACTTTTTCAGTTAGTAAAATTTTTTAAAACTTATTATCAGAGCCTTTGTTGTTGACACATCATCCTCCAAGTTACTTTCATTGCAACAATGGACAAACGGTTTGTCTCAATTTCTTGTGGATGACATTACTCTTTTACTTAGTAATTTACCTATTCTATTAGGAAAAGTTTACGTATGGTAGTCTGCATCAATTTCACTTGTAAAAGTATGATTGTAGTCATCTATAGAATTTATTTTAGTTAGATGGCAGATTTAACAATATCTTTAAAAACATATAAAATCGACACCGCTTAATTAAATGAACAATATAAAACATCTACATAAAGTTGCCACCTTAGATAATTCACAAATTTGATAACCGACGATATCCCGAGATAAAACAAACCAGGGACAGAATTTGAGCATTGTACGTGGTGACTTTCCATCCTTTTACTAGAGAGAGCGAGAGAGCGATTTTTTGTCTTCGTTTTTGTAAATTGTGGATGAGAGACAGAGAGATTGATTGGTTTTCTTTTTCTTTTTCTTTTGGTATTTGGTAGTTTGTGGTTCAATGTTTCTTACCTTACCTTGCAGGTAAATCCTAATTCCTAACACATCAAGATCTCTCTCATAGACAAAATACACATAACATAAGTTGAAATTGACAAACCATGTGCTCTCTGATGTGATAACTGGATGTGGGGATGCTATCCCCACGACCCTAACTTTTTTTTTATTTTAGTTTTCTATTTTTCACTGGATATCGACCTAATCTATCCAGCTTTCTATATTCTTGCTTTTTTGGCTTTTCTTAGAATAATGTAGTTCAAATTTTAGATTTTTTTTTTTTTTTTTTAATTGTTTCCTTTGTAGTTTCCTTTATATATTTTAGTTCTATATGAGCATTACGAACCCCATATTTTGTGGTGTTTTGATGTCTGAAACCTAAGAAAAAGGGAAACCATGTTTGCCAAAATTTTACGTGCTCTTGTGTGATCACACAAAGCTAGCCTATTTACGTTGCTCATTATTCTTCTTAATTTTTTTTTTGTGTTTTAAATTTTAAGGTAATTATCACTAACATATCTATATTTTAATAAAATCAGAAAAAAAACTCCAACGTTTCAAAAGCTCGCCTACACCATTTTTCCCAATTTTTCGGCTTTTTATGAACGAAAATACCCTTAACGGTAGTCTTTTTATCGTAAAGAACATTACGATAATTTAAATACCATAATTAACATAAAGAATATTACGGTAATTTAAATACCGTAATGTGTAGAAAAGTTCATACAATAATTTATATACCGTATTTCTTAGGATATTTATACGGTAATTTAAATACCATAAAAAAAATTACGGTACTTTAATTACCGTAATATATAAATATATTCTTCAAGTCATTATTACTGTAATGGTTGAAAAGCTTCAAACCGAAACTAATATCAAGACTACCCCTCTCCTCCTTGGGGACTTTTTCGGTCTCTCTCTCTAAAACCCACCTTTCTCTATCCATTAATGAAAATGGGATCCTTAAAAAACAAGCAATCCAGTAATTCCAAGGCCATATCGATTCTGCCTTCTCTATATAATGTCCTAAGTCTCTGTAATGGTGGGAATCTCCTTAGCAATCATCTCTTCCAAAACCAAAATAGAATGGCTCAAAAGTCCAACATTCCAAAACGATTTGATCATGGTGTTGTAGGTGAGAGAGTCAAGATCAAGCTCAAATTGGGTCATCTCTAATATAACCCCTGCCGCATCTTCCAATTCTTGAAGATCACAGTAACTACCAAGCAAAATACAATAACTATAAGAATCCAGTTCAGGCTTGTTCTTGAGGAATTAGTATGTTTCCTCAAACCTCTCCTCTTTTTAGAACCTTTCAATGATAAAATTATAAACAAAATGATCGGGGACATGACTTTCTGCCAACACCAAATGGAGAATCTCCATAACCTTATCAATGCCGCTCTTGTTGCAAGCCTTTTCAATCAAAAGTTTACAAGTCAAAGGCTCAGAGCAAATGTTTTTCTTCGATAATGGTTTTGAGAAAGGTGGGTTTTAAGAGAGAGAAACAGAAAAAGTTCACATAATGCAAGAAGAGAGGGGTAGACCTGATATTATTTTCGGTTGAAAGCTTTTCAAAGCATTACGGTAATAAAAATGATGTAAATAATATATTTATATATTACGATAATTAAACTACCGTAATGTTCTTTATGGTATTTAAATCACAGTATAAAATATCATAAGAATTACGGTATAAAACTTTTTTATATATTACGGGAATTAAATTACCGTAATGTTCTTTACGGTAAGAAGCCTACTGTGAAGGGTATTTTCATAAAAAAGAAAATTGAAAATTGAGAAAAAGTGTAGGCGAGGTTTTGAAAAGTAAATTTTTTTTTTCGATTTTACTAAAATACAGATATATTAACGATAATTACCTTAAATTTTATTGTGCATATTAAAAATTGATTTTACAGCCGTTATGAAGATGTTGGTTACCAAAAGTACCTTCCGGAGGATGACTTGAGGTGAGGCTTTATTTATTTATTTTTCATAAAGATTAGGCGTGCATCCTAAAACTAAATGTAATACCGTACTTATATTTCTTTTTTGTAAACCATGAGAGGGCTCTAATAATTTACAAGTACCTTTAAAGGCAGAGCCTAAGATGTTGCACATGTGTCACTTTGCACGTGCAAAATGTTTCGAATTTAACAAAAAAAAAGAAAAAAGGAACGATATAAGAGAGATACTCTTCCAAACCATAATTTTGACAATCATAGATTCAAAACAAGTCTAAGTACTAGTTTAAAGTTTTTGATTTTTTAAAACACTTGAGTTTGACCTATAAAAACGAAACAGAACAAGAAAAAACCCAATTTTAAATCCTAATAACAATAAAATATTGTAATAAAAACAATTCCCCCCAAAAATCTAGCACCCTTACAAGTGTCTCATTCCTTTCCATGAAAAGTATTAGTGACTCAAGTGCAAGTCAATCTCTTATCTAATTCCTATAACTCTAAATAGTCTACTTATTTCTTTATTAGCTAAAGTTAATAAAGCAAATATATATTAACCAATAAACAAACTAAATAAACTACTAACCGCAATTTGTCCCTCAATTTATAAGTTATTAAACCTTAGAAATATAAAGAAATAGATATTGTTTAAAAACTAAACCATATCTTTTATTCTTTAGCCCACAAGTGATATCTATTAGATAAGAGATTGGTTGGCCCCTCCTCAATCATTATTAACCATGGTTAACCAATAAACAAGGCAAAGTCTAACCCTGGTAAAGTTAAAAGTCTATTACCAGTCGGCTACTATTCGTTCGTTCTTTTTTTCCGCTCTTTTGGCCTGTGCTTTTTAACCTCTCACCCGTCTTTCACGACCTCGTTGATGCGGTGCGCTTGAAGTCCCCACTCGAAAGTATCAGATACGTTCTGGGTTTTTTTATTTTCATATTATTCGATAATCTTTGGTAAAATTTAAGGGATGGGTATCTGTTTTTCTTCTAAATTGTTCGTTGGTTTTTGTTTTTTTTAAGTATTGTTGGGTTTTGATTGTGGTATTGTTAAAATGTGAGGAATGTGAAGAATGGGTTTTTCTTTGTTGTGATTAAAAGGTCGGTTTTTAGATCATCTCAGACGAAGCCGAGATGGGTTTTGAATTGGGCTATGCGAACTGTGAGGTTTTTGGAGGAAATGTTTCATTTTCCACGGATTTGCTGATTGCCAAGGGCTGGATTTTGGGGATTTATTGGGTTTTTCTTGTTTTTTTATGGATTCAATACTGGGAAAAGAAAATGTACAAGTTTGTTATGAACTTTGAGAGTGGAAGGTTTCATGTGTTTCTGAAGCTGGTGTGTTTGGAGGTTTGAGAAAAAGAAAAACTGGGTATTTATTCTCTTGTTATGTTTTAAGTGAGATGGTAGTAAAAGATTGAGGTTTTGATTATTATTTGAATTAGAATAATAAAGCTTAAGTTTGGACCGTGGTTGTTGAAATAATTTGATTAAGGCAAAGAATAATTCTTAATTTCAACCTGGCTTGTTAAAATAAAGTTGGAATATATAAATGGCTTTTCTGTGGAGTAAACGGGGTGGTCTTTTTTTTTAATTTAAACCAAAATAAATAAATAAATAAAAGTTTTTGACTGAGGTTGTTAGGGATGAAATTGTGTTGATTGGGTTTGTCCGATAGAGGTTTTATTGGTATTGAGATTAGATTTTGGGGAGGGGGGTATGGACTGGCCCAATAATGTCGTATTTTATATTGTGGCATGAGCCAATCTGGGCCTGATTGAAGACAGTGTGACAGTGGTTTCTTCTTGGGGTTCATACCATCATGCCCTACTCTCAATTCCATCATATGACAAAGGAGAAATGGGATTTTGCTCAGCCCAAGATGACTAATTGTTCCACAGATCTTGCTTTTGTGTGAGTTCAATCCATCCAAAATGTAATTTCCCTCCCTTTCTCTTTTTATGTTCTTTATATTTCAATACGGTTTTCTCTATACTCCATTTCTTCGAAATCGTAGTGAATTTGTTTGAACCCCTTTGGGTTTTCTGTGTTTTGTTTTCACTGAATTATGTTTTTTTGGTTTTGCATTGCTTGTTTGAGTTTTTCCCTAGTGGAAGTTTGATCTCTTCTTTTGGGCAGGCCTGATCATGAATTTGTGGAGCTACTTTGGGAGAATGGCCAGATTGTGCTGCAGGGTCAGACCAGTAGAAATAGGAAGGATGCCTCTTCATCTGGTTACTCTTCACATCCTCCAAAAACCCATCTAAATCATAATAGTGGTGATGCTGTCCTACCCGTGGCTTCAAAGGGTGGAAGGTATGGAACTCTGGAATCTGTTCTCCATGATTTCTCTTCTGGTCAGGCTTCTGGTTGCCCCTTAGTTCAAGAGATGAAATGGTGCCTTGGCTAAATTACCCACTTGATGATTCCTTGGAGAGAGATTATTGCTCAGAATTCTTCCCCGAATTGTCAGGGGTCAATCTCACTCCTCTTTCTAAGCCAACCGTAATGGTTGTTTCGTAACTTCGAGACGTAAAA